CTTGAAGATAGCAGTCGATATTAGAGAGGATGCCACCCGGACGCTTGACACCTTGCACCAGCAGGGTGAGCAAATTCACCGTACTCACGTCATGGCTGCTGATATGGAGCGTGATTTGAGCAAGGTCTGTATGATATAACTTATTTCTATTTTCTTCTACTCTTTTTGTTTTTTGGGTATTATTTAGTTTGCGGAAATGGTGATGCAATGCTTTGTATTGATGGTTGTCGTGTTTCATTTGGGTCATGTCATGTAAACATCCATCACTGGAGAATGTTTTTGAAAAACTTTTTTGCTTCAAGAAATCAAATTAGCTGTAGCACATACAGAATCAGACATCGAAGGCACAACTTTTGTTGATTAATTACGGATAATCATGTTGTGAATAGAAATGTCAAAGCAGATTGGGACAGGACACTAAAATTTGATGCTTTGGTTATAATTTATCATGTTATCTAGTCTTATTAGTACATGAAGTGAAAGTGTAGGGCATGTTTGTATACAGATATATCAGTTCAAAGTAAGTTTTCTTGGTTAATCAGAGTTAATTTTGAAAAAAAATAGTATGGTTTGTTGTTAGTGGGATGTTAATTTTATATTAAAAAATAATATTTAAAATAAAATAATTAAAGTTGGTTTAATGAAAATTAAGAGAGAGATGATGTAAAATGATAGTTAGTTAAAATTGTTACTATTCACCGTTTCTCTTATTACTACGTATTGTCTCCCTTTGGATAATTTTACCCCTGATATTGTTTTTTTCAAAAAGTAAAAAAAACCACGCATCTGGCCGACCGGCCAAACCGGCCGCACACGGTGGCGATCGCTCGTCTTGGCCAGCCGATGACATGGTCGGCCGCAATCTCTGGCCAGCCAACCACATGGTAGGTTGGAATCGCCGGAAAGCCGACCACATGGTCGGCCGCAATCGCCGGCCGGCCGCGCTATTTTTTATTTTAATTTTTTACGAATCAAATTTTTATTTATTATATAAATTATGTTAAAATTTAGCTATTATTACGCTATAAATTAGAATTTATTATTTTATAGTTAGAATTTAAAAATTATTATGTTATAAATTATAATTTATTATTTTATAACATAATAATTTCTAAGTTCTAACATAGTAATAATAAATTCTATGACATAATCAATTCTAATTTATAACATAATAATTTTTAAGTTCTAACATAATAATAATAATAATAATAATAATAATATTATGAGATAATCAATTCTAATTTATAACATAATAATTCCTAAATTCTAACATAATTTAAAAAAATGATAAAAAAAGTACGGCCGCAATCGCCAATCGGTCGGCCTTTGTTTTTTTTTTTAAACAAAAGAAAGTCAGGGATAAAACGGTTCAGGGGGGTAGTAGGTAGTAAAAAGGGGAAGGTGTTTAACAATTTACTAAAATTATGTGAGTGAATGAATAGTAAATTAATTATATCGGTTGGTGTTATTTAATTATATTGATAATATTAAGGATAGTGAAGTTGAGTTAAAATTGAGTTAGATTTTGAGTATGAATTGAATACGAACTGAAAAATATTGTATACAAAAAGAACTTTATAAACATAGAATGTTCTATCACAAAGTGTCTTCAAGGAAGCCTTGTGTGCATATCCTATAAGAGCACCCACAATGCTTTGAGTCTCATTTTGTATATGTGGCATATAATTGGACTTGAGTCTTAAATGATGTGGACAAACCCAAGTAAAAAACTTCAATAACTTTAGAATGCAAAACTAAAAATACTAGGTCTAGCATATATGTCAACCAATAAAAATGATCTAATATGTTTTTTTTTATTAAAAGAAAAATTAAAGTATGAATAAATAATTAGTGTTTGGGTTTGTACTTGGGTCCAAAATAGACCCAAGTGTGGACTTAGTCTCTTTTTTTTTATTGCCACATAAGCTAGGCCATGTCCACTTTTAATTGCATTGGGAAGCATTTTTTTATAGATTAGGTCTATTTTTTACATGGCATGTGATTTTTTATCAAGAGACCCAAAGCATTGTGGATGCTCTAACTATCCCAATGATGTTAAATACTTTTTATCTTACAGGGTGAAAAGTTATTGAATAATCTTGGGGGCATGTTTTCCATGCCATGGAAGCCGAAGAAGACGAAAACCATTTCCGGCCCTAAAACTTATAAAGGTACTCAAATATTTTATTTCCTACCTTTATAATTGTACTCATGCGCATCTTTGATGTATGATATTACCCAAATAACATAATGAGTAATCAATAAGTTGTGTTTTTACCCTTTTTTTTTTTTTTTTTTAATTTTTTAATAAGGGTGTCACTAACTATGAGTTTCTCCTTTTTACAGACGATAATGAAAGAGGAAAACGAAGTACTCAAGACCAAAGAGAAAAATTAGGTCTAAACCAAGGAGGAAAAGTGAAAGGCTCGCGTTCGCCCCCTCTTGAGCCGACCAATGCCATTCAACATATTGAGGTACCACTACAAAAAAATTGTTCTATTCCAACGGAAAATCCTATGGTAATATATTCTAATGGAAATTCCAACGGATATTCCAATGGTATAGCTTCCGTTGGAATGTATTTTTCATTAGAATTTGAGATGGAATTGTTGATTTCAACGGCTATATTTCCAACGGCTTTTGACCGTAGGAATTTCCGTTCGAATATACAATTTCCGTTGGAATTTTTATTTCCACCACAGTCGGAATCGTCAAAATCCAACAGAAATTCCAATGGAAAACTCACTCCAACGGAATATTTTTGTTGGAATTTCCGTTGGAACTAAATATCCATTGAAATTGTCGTTGGAATTCTATTGGAGTATATTTCCGTTGAAATTTTATCATTTTCTTGTAGTGTACTTGTTTCGTATATAAACAAGGATTGCATGAGTGCATTAAAATTTTAATTAGATGGTGACTTAAAATATTTTTATGGGCCTTGATATTGTGAATCAGTATGAGAAGACGAAACAAGATGATGCACTTTCGGACCTTGGCGGTATATTGGGAGAGTTGAAAGGAATGGCTGTCGACATGGGATCTGAACTTAACAGGTTAATTAATCATCTATCAAGTTTTGTTACTTTACTTGTCTTTGGTTATTATACAAGTGCAACCCCATAAGTCAAGTTAATATCTGCTCATTATTTCATTAGTTAAGACCTATGTAATAATATACTAGTAATAGTCTTCTGTTAAAGTTCTAATGTGAATAATTTTTCCCAAAATTTTCTTTATAGAAATCTAGAAGTAGTTCGTAATGAAAAATTTTAATATTAATTTTTTTTACTGCTTTTACCCAACTTGTTGGTGATTGAACGTATATAAACACACTAGGAATGGAAAAGATTTTCATTCTAGAATCATTGTGTAATTTGTTTTTTTCTTTTGGATTTTAACAAAGAAATGAAGTCGATTAAACTTGATGTAATTGTACGCTTCTTGTGACTATGTTTCAGTGGATGAAATTTTTAGACATGTGATATCACCTAATCTTGCCTTGAAGTATCATTTCATTTCTTGGTGTTACATTGCATCTGCGGCCCATATACTAAATGGTAAAAAAAAAAAATGGATACAAGATAACTATTGTCTAGTTCTTTCTATGTATTGTAGAAAAAATTTAAGACAAACAAAATTATACCCATGTTAAAGGTAGTGGTATGTGTTATACAAAATCTTTCATTAACAACCTCCATCATTTCTGGTTATCAAGTGTTACCCGATTTTAAAGGCATCTTGATTCACGCAATGTTTTTCCAATCCAATAAGCATACATTAAACCTATTAGAATACTTTTAAAAAATGTGTAAGGCAACCTACCGGTTAGGTGGATTGACCCATCATACTTTTTGGACCAAATGAATACTTATACTGTGTCATAATGTTGTATGTGATTTTTTTTAACGTTATGTCTTCTTTTGTTTTTCCGAAATGATAGATAAACTCAAATAACAATAGAAAAAGTCTTACAATCGAAAGGCTTACTAGCCTTCAAAACACCTACAACAACCAGGAGAACCGCAACACATGCGGCCTAGACAACAAAAAAGCAAAGCATTATACTAAAGGCAAATACAAAAAAATTGGACCCTTTACCATACAAAAACAAACTAGCACCCAAAAGCAAACCATACATAAAAGAAACTATATCCTTACTGCACATAAGAGCCTAGGTTTACAGCTTCTCCACAGTCCACCAGCCAACTAACTCCTCACAGCAAGGAACTTAACCCATTCCCCTTGCGCCATCTGAACTATAATTGGCTCTGGCATCCAAACCTTTTGAAACACCCACAGATTACGTGCCTTCCAGAGCTACCATAATATATATACAGACAGTTGAATACGAGCCTCTGAAACCTTTAATCTATCCATAGCAGATAACCACCACCACCAATCTTTAAACCCACTAGCCGAGGCAGCCTCAAAATCCCAGCTTAAAGGTGATAATTTCCACACGTTTTAAGCTCTGCAACCCTCAAATAACAGATGCTTAACACTTTTATCACTCTCACCACAACACTCACAAATCCAATCAAGAGCTACCGCGTGTTTGTATACAAATAAATCCATTCAAAATGAGTTTTTTTTTTTGTTAACTAGAGTTAATTTTTATAAAAGTGGTATGGTTAGTTGTTAGTGTGAATTTGATTTTATATTAAATAATATTTAAAATAAAATAATTAAAGTTGATTTGATGCAAAAGTATGAGAGAAATTGTGTGAAGTAATGATTAGTTAAACTTATGTGAGAGTATGAATAGTAAATTAAAGTTGATGTGATATGTAAGAATGATTGGTTGGTATTATTTAATTATATTGATAATATTGAGGAGAGTGAAGTTGAATTAAAATTGAGTCAGATTTTGAGTATGAGTATAGAATGTAATATTTCATATGCAAACACACCCACCCCTCTCTTTTTCAAGTTCGGACCCACGGGTAAAGATTCTGAGAAACATTTTCAAATAAAATGTTTTACCTTCTTCTTTATATTCAAGTTTCAACATCTTTGTCCCTTGCATTTTTGTCCCTCAAAGAAGAGGAACTGCTCTCTGCTCTGTCTAGGCTCTGAATTTTCTCCAAGATAAAATTAGAGTAAGTGGAGGCTACAGAAAACTTTCCTTTCAGCTCAAGACACGACACCCATCTATCTTTTGCAGTAAGCTCTAAGGTGCAAATCTTCAGGATTGCATCACAAGTTTCAGGGGTAAATAAATTGTGGAGAAGCTCCATGTTCCATCTTCTATCAGGCAGCAGCTCCCTTACCCAAGTAAATGTGTCCACATTGGCCTCTCTTCTTTCAACCTTAAATGTCCCTTTCTGAAGCCTGGAATCCAAGGATCAAGCAGAATTATTGTATTCACCCCATCCTTAATCTCCTTTCTGAAGCAATGCCTATAATAGCCCATGACTTGCATCCAATTATTCCACATCCAGGAAGTAGACTGAGATGGTTTTGCCTCCAACACACAGCCTACTGGAAAGTAATTTTCTTTCAAGACCTTGCTAAGAAAAAGATTAGGTTTAGACAATAATCTCCAAATCTGCTTTAAAATAAGGGAATCATTAAATGTTATTATATCCTGGAACCCAAGACCCCCTAGCTCCTTAGGACAAGTCAACCAATGCCATGCTTTCCAAGGAAGACCTGTTGCGTTCAGCACCATGACTCCACAGGTAAACAGAAAGAAGACATGAAAAAAATGAGTAGAGCATTAACCACAGATTTTAACAACACCTCCTTTCCCGTAGACAAAAGCTTAGGGGGCGATTGTCTATCATTTCTACAGTAAAAAATCCAATCAAAACTCAAATTTAACTCAACTTTAACTCAACTCCACTATTCCCAATATTATCAATATAATTAAATAATATCACCAAATCATTCTTAACACATCACATCAACTTTAATTCACTATTCATCTACTCACATAATTTTAACTTAACTATCACTTCCAATCATTTTCTCCTACTTTTACATCAAATCAACTTTAATTATTTTACTTTAAACATTATTTTAATATATCCACTAACAACTAACCATACCACCTTTTTTCAAACTTAACTATAGTTAAAAAATAACCAGTTTTTTACTAGGTGAATTCATATCCAATCACCCCCTTATTCTTCCAGCAATTAATTTTGTTCTTTACAACAAGAATCACAAACTCAAACACTTCTTTTTCTGATTTACCTATAACCAGAGGCAGACCAAGGTATCTAGAGGATCTCTGGACACTTATTCTTTCCAAAATTTGGCAAACCACATGTTGCATCTCCAAAGAAGTTTTTCTTCTGAAGAAAATAGAGGACTTCTATAAATTCACTTTTTGATCATCAAGTACCAAGTCAAAGAGGCATATCCATCAATGGAAACTGAGACAGATAGTAGCTTAAAATTTTATCTGGAGCTGAAGCAAAGAGAACCTGATTTTACAAAGTTCCCATTATGCATAACCATCACGCGAAAGGAAGTCTCAAATTTTGCTGTAATAGAACATGGGCATAATTGTCACGTGCAGCCGTTGAGTTTCATGAAACCTTTTATTGAAGACAAATTATTTGAAATAAGTTACTGATTTAAGCTTTTATTGCCCATAATGCATTTGAAAGACTCTTTCTCCCATAAATAATTATTTATTCCTACTGTTTAGCACAAATTCCCTTAAAAAATGCTAAAAACGGTTGTCTCTGACGGTCTCACCCCTGTAAGTTTGGTAAAAAACAATTGTATTTGTAATTTTGTAAAAAAGAAAAATAATACATGTAGGTGGAGTCATTTCCTCAATCATTTTTGATAAATTCTGCTCAAAAGACCAGTAGGGCTCTACCTTTCAGTATATTGGGCTGTAAATTGTAATGGGCTAAATTTTAGTTGCGCAAGATCCCAAAATTTAAAACGTTAAAATATTTAAAAAGGACAAAAACAGCAACGAGATTGATAGATTTCAGTTTAACGCGTCGTCTTGATAGCTTCATCAGATCATTTGTCATTTACACACACTACACTAGGTGGAACACTGAATAAATGTGATTCCGATTCTGGAGATTAAACCCTCAATGTCAATGGCTACTCATCTCCGATTCCTTTCTTCTATGTTTAGTCTCTTTCTCATTGTTCCCTTGGTCCTGAACAGCGGCGTCCTCTGCAAGACGCTTAAGCGAGACGGTGATTTTCTCGATCCATTATTTTTCTATGTTACTGCATTTAAATGTTCGGTTAACTTAATCAGGAAGAAAATTCGGTCTATTGACACATCGTTGGTTTGTATGAGCTTTTTCAGCGATAGATTAGTGTGGATTGCTTTTAGAGGAGTTGTATGTATGAGGGTGGATTCATCATTTCCGGATCTTGTTCTTAATCTAAAAAAATGTGTGTAGCTTTGGGTTGCAGGCAAGATTATGCATTTCTGTTTAGGGTGCAGGGAAAGATTATACTGAAGTATGTAGTTGAAACATATATTTGAGTGGATAATTCTATGGCCTGACATCTTTATCACTATGCGCACCTGTATTTGGGATCACTAATATTTATTACTGTTTGAATGTCTATATAGCGAGTGTTTTTAAGGTAATTTTGTGGAAGTAGGGCAAAAATGCAGCTGTAATCTGATTAAATATCCATACCTAATCTTTTTGTGTTGTTTCCTTCAATATGCAGTGAAGGCATTAAATGAAATAAAGGCGTCACTTGGATGGAGAGTAGTGTACGCGTGGGTTGGTGATGATCCTTGTGGAGATGGTGATTTGCCTCCTTGGTCAGGTGTCACGTGTTCCGCTGTGAGTGGGAGTGATTATAGAGTTGTTACTGAATTGTGAGTTCCAAGACTTTCAGTCTCTTTTAGGCTTTCATTTTAGTAAATGCTTAGTTGTATCATCAGATTACGTTCGTTGTTATTTTTATTTTAATTATACTACACAATTACCTTGCAGGGAAGTATATGCAGTTTCGATTGTTGGTCCCTTTCCACTTGCAGTTACCAATCTGGTGGATCTTACGAGGCTGTATGTTTTCCTTTCTCTTTGTTTGGTGTTAACAAGGAATTCCTTGTATTTCTATGTAACAGAAACTAAGGTCTTGGCATCTTGCTTCCATTCTTTTGTTTTGCATTTTCAAAATCTCCTATATTGTTGGTTTTTGCAGGGACCTACATAATAACAAATTGACGGGACCAATTCCTTCGCAAATTGGACGACTGAAGCATCTTAAGATACTGTAAAGTCCTGCTTTCTGTGTATAATGTACAACATTTTTCTCCCATCCATGCCCCATATGATTAGTCTAGCTGAATGAGTTACTATTGTTGGATGCATGCTGAAACACAGGTCAAGGATGGATTATGTAGCTAGTTGGATTAAAATTAGTCTCAGCATCCCAAAGAAAGCATATGCGAACTACAAGCAAAAACATAGTATTTGTCTGGTTATCAACTGCTCCATGGGAAAGAGTTTAGTGGAAATACTTGGGAGTGGCGTAACACGATGAATCTTTTAGTTAGGTTTATCAGTAACAAATTATGTACATGATGGGGGTTATAATGGTTGAAATGATGACTGGTTGGTATTCTAAGAAAACAAACGTATATTTCTCTGGAAGAGCAATGCTCACATCTATCTTCAGTTTGTTAGGAAGTTTCTCATAATTTTTTGGATCCAGTCCTATTTCGCTGGTTTTGATTTAAACTTGAAATCCCTATATTTTTGTTTTGTATTTCAAGTTTTCTTTATATCTCAATTCTGTCTCTCCCAACACCGTTATTGTTTCCTGTTACTGATCATTTTCCCCTTTTGTATCTTTTCTTGTTTTATCAGTAATTTGAGGTGGAACAAATTCCAAGACTCCATTCCTCCTGAAATTGGTGAACTAAAGCAGCTAACACATCTGTGGGTGATGTTAATTATTTCAGACTTTCAAGATCTGTTCCTCAATTTTTTTTTTAAATGAAATTTGTGGTGCAATTCTGCAGCTACCTGAGTTTTAATAACTTTAAGGGTGAAATTCCCAAGGAACTTGCAAATCTTCCCGAGCTTCGTTATCTTCAACTTCATGAAAATCGTTTGACTGGGAGAATTCCACCTGAATTGGGAATGTTAGCAAATCTGCGGCACCTGTAAGATTCTGTCTTAATAATGGGTTCCCTGTGTCTTTTAGTGGTTAGCTTAATCGACTTTATTTTACAGGGATGTCGGCAACAATCACTTGGTTGGGACCATAAGGGAACTCATTCGTATTGAAGGATGCTTTCCATCTCTTCGTAATCTGTACGATTTCTTAAATTTTTGCTGTCTTTGGATTTGCTATTTGATTGTTATAGCTAATCTCATTAATTATGGAAGTAATTAAGAGTCTTAATCATTTGAACACTGCAGGTACCTCAACAACAACTACCTCACTGGAGGTGTTCCATCACAGCTTGCTAATTTAACGAACTTGGAAATCTTGTAAGATTCTATATTTACCAAGTAAATCTGGCTGTTCTTGCAACTACATATCCCAACCCCATTGCAATTCGCAAATTTTGCAAGTTAACTGCTTTTGTTGGTTCCAGATATATATCTTATAACAAAATGTCTGGGGTTATACCATTTGGGCTGGCTCATATACCTCGATTGACCTACTTGTAAGTGTGCTACATTCATACTATACATATATTAACTTGTCCTGTATTGGATGTTTTCATATGCTTATGATGGACAGCTTTGTGGCACTAAAATGCTTATGAAATATCTCTGCATTAACTTAGCTACCTTAAGAAATCATATATCCAATTTTAACGATTTACACGTAGTTATTTTAAGGAGCCCGATTCTGGTAAATTTTAGAACTGCAAAATCAACTATCAGGGAACTTTCTCTTGTTTCCTTACCTGCTATATTCTTATGAACTCACTTTTGAGAAAATTGAGGCAAATTAACATAAGGTCATCGGTAAGTGTAATCAACAATTAGACTCCGGCTCCAGTGCGTGGATCAATGGTAGCCTGAGTCCTGTGGTATGTGACTTTTTTCGTTTATTTGCTTGTTTTCTTTCGTCTCTTATTCAGGTACTTGGATCACAACCAATTTTCTGGGAGAATTCCTGATACCTTCTACAAGCACCCATTTTTAAAAGAAATGTAAGTTTCAGTTTGCATTTTACTCTTGAGGAAATGTGAGATGCATCTTAATTCTTAACAACTGATTTGGCCATTTTCGGTCAATTAAGTCTGGGTTTAATTTTTTCTTTAATTTTTTTGGTTTTAATCTGCACAGGTACATTGAAGGAAATTCGTTCAGGCCAGGCGTGAAACCCATTGGTGACCACAAAGTCCTGGAACTTGCAGATTCGGAGTTCCTGTTTTAGGCTATGAATCAACTCAAGTTTTGGCTAGAATTGATTTCTGTTAATCATCAATATTCTCGCTTATATGAACATCCCAATTCTACTTGGAAAAAAAGAAAAAATAATGTCACACGATTCATGTAGCTCTCAACGGAAGCATCATCGAGGTTGTAAGCTTCTAGGTTTTCCCAAACTGTACATAGAGATAAACATCATATTCAGTTATACCTTTAGTTATTTGCCTATATTATTATGATAATCAATTATTGATGTTAAACCATCATTTATCACCCTTGTCAATTTGGCTTTCTTCACCACAATGTCTTTCAAATAGAGAACCACCAACAAATTGATATGAGTAGTCCAAGTTTAGAGAAAATGAAGAAATGTCTGGAGATTATTGTCTAGTAGACTTGGGAGTTGGGTTTTCTAACTCCGAATAGGAATAATGACCAAATTGTTTTTTCTTGTTCCTCGTAGCGCCATCTTTAAATTTTTCAGTTTTTAATAGTATCTCAAACGTGATCGTATTTCTATCTGAATTTGAATTTGGAATCTTGTGTGAACAACGTTTGTGTAAAAGAAAATATTTGAGAATATATTTTTGAGTATGAGAATGATTTTTTAGTTGGAGATGAATTACTATTTGATGTGACAGTTATTGTAAAATGAGTTTTTCGGTTAGAGATAACCTACTAACAAAACTAAAATGACATTAAAAATCAGAACTCTTAATAAAACCTTACCCAAAGTTAAACTAATAGAACTAGCATCACATTAAGAAAACCAAACTTTTGAATAAAACGTAAAGTAAATCTACTTTCCCAGATTGATTTACCAGTTACTTGTCATATTATATATTATAAAGAAGATTTTATTTCGATATTATTATTACAATAAGTGTAATGAATGTTTTTCGAATTATATATTGGAAATAAGATCTAGATTGTTGATTTCAATATTATGATTGTTGATCCCAATATTATTATGACGACAAGTGTAATGAATGTTTATCGTGTATATTTTTTGGCAAATCAAAATTTAAATCATTCTCAAACAAACCCTAAAACAAGTGTAATGAATGTTTATCGTGTATATTTTTTGGCAAATCAAAATTTAATCATTCTCAAACAAACAATAAAACCTATTTTCGTTACTCAAAAGTCAAACCTAGAAGTCTGGCTAATTTACTGCGATTGTCAGTAGTTCAAGTGTTTAAAGTGGAAGATTCGATGCTATCCATGTGGGCAGTGCTCACATGGGTTTTTTACAATTAATATACACATAAACACACACACATGGGTGTTTGTGAAATCAATGATAAAAAATCCCATGGGTAGTACACACGAGTAGCATCGAATTTTCCGTGTAAAAGCTCATTATTTATTTTTAAGTTGCTATAATCATTTATGTTACTCCAAAAAAGCAAAAAGTCACAAATTGAAATAGTAGTACTTAATCATGATGCCATATATGGCTGGATCATATAGGTCACTTCATGTATAATGGACGACTTAAAAATAATTCTCCAAGGCTGCAGCATTTTGACTTTATCTGAATATAATTTACAATTACATTGAGAACTCGTTTATGGACCATTACAAGCCAAGATGAGAAAAGTTATTAGGCCTCCTATGTTTATTTTATTTGCAGTCAATGAAAGGAGAAAAAGAGAATAGGAGAAAGAAACCTCAAAAAGTTATCAGGTCAATTTTGACATTAGAAAATAAGAATGAGCATTAAGATGAAGAAAAGAATACTTGTTTGCATTCACGGGTTTTAAAAGATGCAAAAACAGTATATACATGCAAAGCATATCCCTTGTTTGCTTGCCTCCTTAAACATAATCCTCCTTCAAATGTGCCCCCAAAACTTAGGGACAAATAAGGCTAAAAGTGTGGATTTGTTCAAAACTGCACCTTCCTTAAGCAGAAAACATTCTCTGTGCATCAGATGAAACTTTGTCAAGTTTCAAGAAGAGAATCGGCTTTGCAGATAACGATGAGACCATAGGCAACAAATCGGAAAAGCCAACAACAAATTGGCTTTTGCTCATAAGCAGCTGAGTAGAGTATACAAAAAAGCCGACTGCAGCAAAAATGGGGCAGGGGGACTACCTGGCGGACGCTTGGGAAAAAGAAGAGATTGCGTACATTATAGAACGGTAAAAGTTGCAAGTCTTGTATGTTTTTGACTGAGAAACGCATTTTTTAGCCTAAATGACTAAAAGAAACCCATATAATTCTTCAATGTTACCAATACACATCGGCTTTTGTTTCTCTTTTCATGAACTGCAGCATGAAGATGGGTATTTGTAATTTGAAATGATAACAGGGGTCCTTTGTAATAAAAAAAAAAAAAAAAAAACTGTGGAACTATCCGAACGAGTTTTTTATGTTTGCAGAGAACTTATCATCAGTGCCCCCCATATGACAAAAGCAATTTTCAGGTATGTGAAGCTGAAGGCCACAATTGATAGCTGGGAGACAAAGAAGAAGAAAAAAGAAAAACACAAAATAGAAAGAGCACAGGTTCTTGTTTTCCTTTCCCATCATTAGTAATTTCTTCCAATATATGCATATGAAAACTAAGGTTATACATAATACAAGGTCAAGATAAACCTTTTCTCGCCTTTTCTGTTCATTTTTATTTTTCTTTTATTCTTTCAGGCTGAATTGGACAAAAGAAGAGCAAAATACATAAAGAGCTACAATGACAAAATCACAAGAATCGAAGTAATTGCACGACGAGCTCGAGAACAGGCAGACGAGGATAAAAAACAGGAGGAGTTCGAAGTGAAAGAGAAGGCAAATAAAATCAGATTGACTGGAAAAATCCCAGCAACTTGCTTCTGCTTCTAAATTTAAACAAGGCCCTGATCTCGTTTAACTTTACAAAATGTTGCAAATGTGTGTGTGGTGTTTATTACTGTCATTATGTTCTAACAGAGCAGTGTAACTAACTCAGGCAATGAAATTCTTGAGTTTGCAAGACAATAAGTAACTTAAAAGCTGACAGCTCAGTTTCTGCTAGAAATTTTATCAAACAAATAATAAGACCCTAGAAAAATTACGTACCAATCATGTATCATCTTACAATTTATACACAAAGTGGAATTACCAGGCACCAATGTACAAATACTAGTACAGAGAAAATATAAAAAACATGTGCAAAATCAGTATTCACAGACATGCAAGAACAGATCACGGCACAATTTGGCCCAAAGCTTTCCGTAAAACATAAATTATCACTTCATACAGAACACATTTACCCCCATAAAGAGGAAAATTAGTTCAAAACTTCATACACAATAAAGGAAAAAGAAAAAAGAAACAAAAATCATAGGTGGCTAAGTGCCAAATATCACATCCTACAACCAATATAGCATTTTAACAGTCAAAAGTAAAAACACGGCTCTCAAGTTCTGATCTCCCTTCCCACCCAATCCAAAGCTGTATACGAAAAGTAGAGCACCAAAACAGACGGGACAGCGAAAACAATCGTTATAACCAAGTAAAGCAGCAACACAGCACCACTAGCCGGTATCGCAAATAACACAACCAAAAGCAGCAAAACCAATGGGAACTTAGCAGTCATCTTAAAGAAAAAATCGATAGATTTATTAAATGACAGCTGTACCCTCTCAGACATATTACCGTTCGAGCCTCGTTCTTCTCTCGGGTTCTGACGTCCAAGTCTATGCATTCTCCCGTTGTTTGCACTATGAGACGAGCAGCCACTTCTCATGACTATCTGCTGACGATCCTTACCACAATTTGAAGAGGGAAATCTCGCAGCACGGTCTCCATTACGAGACTCGACCATCCATAGAAGGAAAAAGTTTTTTCTTGGAAATCTGAGGCTGCCCTTGTGGGAAATTCGGAAAGTGGGCAAGTGGCACCAAGGACAGGAAATGAAAAACGGGACTCGAATTTGCTGGCTGGAAAATTTAAAGGTTGTCCATTTTAGGGCAAGCACACAGTTCTTGCACAGGGTGTGTCCACACCACAAGACATAGGGCACGTTCTCGACGATGTTGAAAGATTCATAACATATGGGGCACTCGAGTCCTTCATCTACGCTAGCGTTTGAAGAGGTCTCGTCGTCTGAGAAATCGTGGCAGGCTCGGCCTAGCTCGGTTAAGTTTCTTTTCCGTCCGAAACCCGGGATTTTATGCGAAATGGACCCCCACATAATGATGAGAGATGAATCCTTGGATATTGGGATGGGGCTGTTAGTGTGGCTTGATCAAAATCATGGGCTTTTT